ACTGAAGTCGAATGCAGCCTCTCACAACCATGCTAGCTGGTACACTGTTGCTGATGGGTTCCTAGAACACTTACTTAGTAGGAGAAGCCTGTACTATAAGGCACCCATCCTACAAAAGATAACTCCAGTTTTGGGGGGATCCCTCCTACTTTTCTTCCTAATTCTTCATATGTTCCCTCTCAGTCACCTTCACTGGTCCTCCTCCTCTGACTTCTAAATGCTAGTGTTCCTCGGGACTTCATCCCTGGATCCTTTTTCTCTCTTCACTCTCTCCTTAGATGACCTCACCCAGTTCCATGAATTTCAATACCATCTTTATGTGGCTTACTTCCAAATGCTATCTCAAGCCCAGAACTCCAGACTTATGTGGTCAATTGCCTACTTGACATCTCCACTTGAATATATACTAGGCATCTCAAAATGAACATGTCCATAGTGGAATTATTGATTCTCCTCCTCCAACACATACTCCAACCAAAACCTTTTACCCTTTAGAATTTCCAAATAGGAAAATTGATCTGGTCAGAGAGTGGGTAAAACTATTCTGATTATGTAGGACTTAAGCAAGATTGAAGAAAGTCAGTTCTATCAAAAAAGAAGAGAAGTAGGTAACAGAAATTATGGGGAAGCTTTGAACCCTCTTTGGTATCAGCACTGTCTCCCACTGCCCCCTAGTTCTCCCTACTGTAGTAAAAACACTGCTTTCCACTGACTTACTCTAAGCCAAAATCCTAGTATTCATCCTTTTCCCTAACTCCCACATCCAATTATTAGGTAGTTCTATTTTTTCTAAGATACTATCTGAGTCTATCCTTTCTTCTCTGTTTTAGGTCACCATCATCTCTCACATGGATCTGTGAAAGTGTCTCTTAACTGGTCTTGCCATGCCATTCTTACTGCTTTAAACCCATTCTCCAAATAGAAACAAGACATCTCAAACTGTAAACCAAATCATGACATGTTTTTTAAAACTCTTAGAGTAGATTTTAAGTGTTTTCACCTCAAAAACCGTATGTGAGGTCATGCATATGTTAATTAGCTTGATTTAGTCATTCCACAATGTGTACATATTTTAAAACTTGCTGTACACAATAAGTGTATATGATTTTTGTCAATTTAAAATAAATAAATATAAAATAAATCCCAAATGACCATCTATTGTACTTAGAACAATACTTAAACTCTGCAAAGGGTTGTAAAATGGCCATGCCCAAATCCCTATCGATTACTCTAGCCTCAGCATGCATCATGCTCCACCTGACTAAACACTACAGCAACACCAACTAGTCTTCCATTTGTTCTGAAGGCATTCCAAGCTCTTTATCATCTGAGGCCTTTACATGTACTGTTCCCTCTGTCTAGAATGCACTTCTAGAATAATCTTCACATGATTAACTCTGTTCTTCCTTATTTTAAAAGTCATCAGCTCTTCATAGATATTTGCTCTGATTACCTATCTAAAATGTAGTAAAGTCTAAACACAAAATGTTTTAAAATGTTAAAATAAAAAAAGTCATCTTGACTAAGATGGAGTACCAGGAAGTAGATCTATCCAATAGCTGAAACAAATTAAAAAAAAAACTTGTCAAAACATATAAAACAATGTTTTCAGACACTGGACATCAGAGAGCAAAGATAAGTAATCCCTGAAAGAACAGAAACAAGCAAGGTGAGCACTGTGATTGCCCCAGATAGCTGCCTGGAGAGACTATCCAGAATGCATTATCAAGATGGGTAACATAGGCAAAGCCCAGTCATCTCCTTGGGTTGAGTTGGAGTTGGGTGTCCAAGTAGGCCACAGTGGCTAGAGTGTGCAGGACAGAGTATCAGAAAAAAAAGGTGCAGCACAAAGACAAAAAAAAAAAAAATAGCTCTGGAGATCTGGTAAGGATCTTCCCTGAAGCTTCAGCTGAATACTGATCAGTGCATGTGTGGGAGGAAACTTACACAGAGCCAGAGAAAGAACAACCTGAAATGATTAGAAGAAACAATCCTTGGAATTCACACAGGGCTATAAATAGTTTTTTTTCCCATAAGCCAAACTGGAAAAACCTCCAAAGTCATAGGATATCAGGTAGAGTGCTCAGAAGGATGTTATATCAGAGAAAAGAAAATTCGTCCTAAAGATTGCTTTGAGTCCAAATAACAAAGCATAAAAGCAAGCCTACAAAGAGCAAAAATCAGTCTCAGACTGTTTCCAAGAAACAGAACTGTGTCCCAGAACAAAACATAAGAATATAAGAATATAGGAATATATAGCACTCAACAGGATAACATTTACAATGACAGGCATCCAATCAAATATCACAAAGTATGCAAAGAAGCAGGATAATACAACTCATAAGAAGAAGAAAAATCAATCAGTAGAAACAGACCCAGAAATGATACAGATGACAGAATAAGTAGGGAAAAACAATTGATAGTTGTTGTATTACACGTTATAACTTTATTCCATGTTAAAGAAGGTAGAGGAAAGATAGACAATGTTAAGTAGAGATATGGAAGAGATGAAGATAATCTAGTAAGAAAAATACACTGAGCGAGACTAATAGCAGATTAGACACTACAGAAGAAAATATTAGTAAGCATGAAGATATAATAATGGACATTATGCAAAATGAAACAGAGAAAAGGACTGAAGAGGAAAAATGAACAGGACATCAGCAAACTGTGGGCAACTTCAAGCAGCCTTAACGGGTGGTAAGGAAACTTTTGACGATTGATATGTTCATAATCTTGATGGCAATGATGGTTCCACAGGTGTACATATATGTCAAAACTCACCAATTTCACACCTTAAATTAATTCAGTTTATTTTACTTCAATTATGTCTCAACATTGTTTTTCTTTTGTTTTTGAGTTGGAGTCTCACTCTGTCGCGCAGGCTAGAGGGCAATGGCATGCTCATAGCCATTCCAGCATCGACCTGCTGGGCTCCGGCGATCCTTCCACCTCAGTCTTCCAAGTACCCGGAACTACATGTGCATGCTACCACGTCCGGCTAATTTTTTATTTATTGAGAGACAAGGTCTCACCAAGTTGCCCAGGCTGGGCTCAAACCCGTGGCCTCAGGCAATCACTTACCTTGGCCTCCAAAGCGCTGGGATTACAGGCTGAGCCGCTGAGCCCAGCCAACATTGTTATTTTTTTTAAAAAAGAAACCTAGAACTAAAATTCCATATAACATCAACATGGGAGATGGAAGTGGAATTGTGTAGTGAATAGAGTGAGGGAGTGAGTGGGAAGAAGTAATAACTTTCTAAGCTTCTACTCTATTTGGGAAGAGGAACTATGGATACCTAGTAACTGTAGAAGTTGTTATAAAAATGTAAGTTTTAAAACAAATACCTTAAAATGTATAGGTAACTATAAATGAAGAAAAATAGAATGTATAACTTTGAAACCAGGAGAAAAGAAAGTACAGCAAAATTTAGTGATCAATTAAAGCAGAAAAGGAAAAAATAAGAAACCCAGGAACAGAGTAAACAGGCATTAAAAAGAACTGAATGACACTTTTAATTCAAGAAACAAGAAAAAGGGACACAAAACAGACTGAAGCAAGTGGGAAAAGGAAATTAATAAACTTAAAGGAGAAATGTGTGGAAAGGAAAGCTGTAAAGTTGATCAAAAAACCAAAACGTAAGAGTTTTTAAAAGACCAATAAATAAAGTTTGGCAAGTATTCAGAAGAAAACCTGGAAGGCATAAATAACATTAGAAATGAAAAGGAAGAGGACAATATTGTTATACATATATAAAATAATTACAAGCAAATGTTACTTTTTCTTTTATGCAAATAATTTTTTTAAAACAACCTTGTTATAATTTATACACAATAAAATGCATACATTTTAAGTGCATAGTTTGATGAATTTTGAAAAATATATATTGCTTATAACCATCAACACCACAATCACGATGCAGAATTTTTCTGCTAACCCAGAAAGTTCCCTGTATCAGTTCTTAGTCAATTCCCTCCTACTACCTCCTGGCTCCTGGTAACTGCTGATCTGATTTCCATAATTATAGTTTTGCCTTTTCTCAAGTTTTGTGTAAATTGAATCACATAATATGTATATTTTTATGTATGCTTATTTTCACTCAACAAAATTTCAGATTCATTCCTTAGTAGCCTACTACTGCCACATTTGTTTATTAATCTACCTGTTGTTGATGAACATTTGGAATATTCAGTTTGAGGTTCTTTTTGAGTTAGAGTCTCACTCTGTCGCCCAGATTGGAGTGCAGTGGCCGCTCCCAACCACCGCAGCTTCGACTGCTGGGGCTCCGGCAATCCTTCCACCTCAGCCTTCCAAGTAGCTGGAATTACAGATACACGCTACCACGCCCGGCTAATTTTTTGATTTATTGTAAAGATGAGGTCTCACCAAGTTGCCTAGGCGGGTCTCGAACCCGCGGTTTCAGGCAATTGACTCACCTCAGCCTCTCAAGGCGCGGGATTACAGGCTGAGCCACGGAGCCCGGCTCAGTTTGAGTCTTACGAATAGCACTGCTATGAAATTCATCTACAAGCCTTTGTGTGGATATACAATCTTCGTTTTCCTGGAAGAGTAGAATTGCTGGGTCCTATGACGAGTATAAGAAACTGTCAGGCTGTTGTTCCACCAACAATGTATGAAAGTTCCAGTTGTTTCACATCCTTGCAAAACTGTATACAATATACTTAAAACCTAAGTGAAATAGTCAATTTTTCTAGGAAAGTGTAAATTACAAAAACTGGGTGAAGAAAAATAGGAAAATGAAAAAAACTAATAGCCATAAAAAATATAAAAATGGTAGTTAAAGGTCACCCTTTGAAGATGTAGCAGGATCAGAGTTTCACTAATAAGATGTACCAAACTGTCAAGGAATAGATCATTCTCACCTACTGTTCAATCTAAACAGAAAAAAAAAGAGGCTAGTCCTGTTTTCTCTAACTACTTTGTGCCATATTACGCAATAATGAACAGAAATTGCTCCAGGCCTTCCACGTGACATCCATGCCGAGGACCCACCCAGCCAATCAGAATGCTGCGCACCTACGGCTCCACCATCCCCCAACCCCCACAGCCCACGAGGTGGAACCTTCCAGTCTCAGACTGTTTTCCCCTGCGGGGCCAATGCGGCACCGCCCCACGCTCCTGCTCCATGCCGCGCCCTGATTGGCCCAGAGAGGCGGGCTGTGTGCGCAGGCGCCCTCCTCGGTTTCTAAGGCGGGAGCCCGGCGAGGGCGCTGGTGGCTTGTGCTGTGTCAGGCCCACGTCGAGGCCTGACCGCGCTTGCCATGCCGAACCGCAGGGCCAGCCGCAATGCTTACTACTTCTTCGTGCAGGAGAAGATCCCCGAACTACGGCGGCGAGGCCTGCCGGTGACTCGCGTAGCCGACGCCATCCCCTACTGCTCGGCTGACTGGGCGGTAAGGCTAAAGGAGGCGAGGGGGCCGGGCGGGGCAGTTGAGCCCATGGGAGGGCCAGGGGGCCTGCAGGGGCACAGACGCTGCTTGCCCTCTGCCAGAGGGAGAAGACGGCCCCTGTTCCTGGCCAAACCGTCGCGGACCCCTTTCGCAGTGATGCCCAGGCTCCTGCCCGTGGGGTCCAGGGCACCCAGTCCTTGCGGCTGCTTCTCATTTTTGTCTCCCACTTACATCTCCCAAAGCTCCTGAGGGAGGAAGAAAAGGAGAAATACACAGAAATGGCTCGAGAGTGGAGGGCCGCCCAGGGAAGAGACTCCGGGCCTTCTGAGAAGCAGGCACAGTTAGCCAGAGAAGAGCAGCCATCTGCCAGGTGCACAGGCATGTCCAGTAAATGCTGGGTGAGTGAACTGGTCAATGTCAAGGGTAGACCACTGGGGGGGGTTTGGTTATTGCAGAGAAGACTTTCGTGTTTTCTCATGGTGTCACAATGCCTGTTAAGAAAACAGCTGACTTCTCAACTAGGGCACACTCGCATTGGTATAATTGGGCAGTGAAAGCTGGGGATGCCTGTTAGGAAACCTGCAGATAGTAAACTTTGATCAGCAGCGGGACTGTTTGATATTTATGGGTTGTATTAGATGACCTCAAGGTGTTCTTTTCAATTCTTTTATGATTAATGAGCCTTTTGGGGGGATGCTTCAAGGTAATTTAGACCCTTCTTTTTACATGATATTGGAAACCAAACACAGCTGCTGTTAGTGAAATATTGGAGTAATAAGACCTGGAGATGTTGGTAGTGTGTATGTCTTAACAAGTAAAAGAGTTGAATAAAGTTTATTTGGGTAAATTTCTGTGTAGTAGAATGTTAAAGTACAAAATAAAATTTGTTCCCTTACTGATTTGCATCAGGAAAGTTCAGGGTAAGGTGGGTGCCCCTCCCCCGTGTTTTTTCCATTCTTGCATAGTAAAATTCCATTCTTAAACTGTCAGCATTGGGTTGAAATTCAAGGGAATTTTGCTTGCTTTAGGTTTCAAAGATTTTTATTTTGTGGACTTACGTTTGAGTAGAAGCTCTAGTCAGTTGAATTTATGCTTGGTTATGCTCGTGAGCCTTGATTTTTCTTTTTATAATTTCTTATAAACCATGTCTCCTCAAAATTTAAGCTATGTTGTATGTATACCTCACGTAAGACTTGGAGTCAACGTGATCTTGTTTCGACTTTAAGTGAAGAATAGAATATCAGAGTACTCTGGGGAGTATTGTTCTTTTGGCCTCCTACTTGGCATTTACCAGGTGGCTCAGGATGATGAGCTTGGATAATCAGTGGTGGGCAAATGACTTTCAGTAATAGTTGAGTTGTTTACCACTCACTCTGTGATTCAGAATAGTTATAGGTTTACTGTTCTGCCTTTAGATGTTGATGTAATTGACAAATGCATGTATTTATTCATAGGATTCATTGGCCTTGGTAATCTATGAGCTGTTTTGCAGTTATTTTGCTAAATTTAAAGATATGGTATGAAATGCCCAGCAAGAGTTTAAGTATGTGGTCATTCATTCTCTTCCTCTTCAGAAACCTGTTTCCACACCACTGCGGAGGCCAGATATGCTTGTACCAAAGCAGAATGATTCACCCCCAGATATGTCAAGTTTGTCTCTTGAAAGTGATCAAGGTAGAGTGATCCTAAAATATTTTTATTGAATTGGATATTGAAAACACTATAATGGTCAGTTAAAATGTTTTCTGTTCATTTTAATTCTCCATTTCAAAGTAATTGACTAAAAGTGTTAACCATTATGGTTATAAAGTTATAAAAGATGAGGTAATTTGTTGAAATAACATTGGGGAGTTTTGTTGTTGTTGTTATTGTTGTTGTTTTAACACAAATCCTGTGTCTGTCTTTCCACCACTTCGTATGTTACTAAACTAGACACCTGTTAGACTTGTTTATAGACACTGAAATACACACTTAAGTTATAAAGGTAGGAGGAGAACATTTTTGAACTCTTGTATAGTGTGTCCATAATTAATAAAATGCAATGTATATTTCAGAATTTCTAGGAGAATATTCACATCACAAAATAAAGTGAGGTGATGACTGTTAATTAGCTTGATGTACTCATTCTGTAATGTATATATGTATCAAAACAGCATGTACAGTTATTCTTTGTCAATTTTAAAAATCCCAGGTTGGGGAGAGTTTTTAAAGTAAATTAAAGGTAAAGATGAATTATTGAGTCAGCCTAGGAGAGAATACAGTTAATAAGGGTCCTTGCTATTGCTTTTGGGTTTTTTTGAGTTAGAGTCTCACTCTGTTGCCCAGGCTGGAGTGCAGTGGCACACTCAAGGCCACCCCAGCGTCGACTTGCTGGGCTTGGGTGACTTTCTGCCTCAGCCTTCCAAGTAGTACAGGCATGCGCTACCATGCCTGGCTAATTTTTTATTTATTGTAGAGACAGGACTCAACAAGTTGCCCGGGCTGGTCTCTAACCCACCAGCTCAGGCAATCTACTCTCCTCGACCTCCCAAAGTGCTGGGATTACAGGCTGAGCCACCGAACCCGGCCCTAATAAACTTTTAACAGTCTTAAATGTGGCCAATCTTGGTAAATAAGAACATGTTACACATTCTCACATTACTTTTTTCCTTCAGATAACTCATAGGTGGTTTTTGTTTATCTTAGAGTTTTTCTCCATTGATTCTGCTTGGCTTTATTTCCCAAACCTATGTATTTGTTGAATATGGTTCGCAGCTCTTCTTATGTCATTCCTGAGATTCAGAGCTTATGTATGACTGAATTATGTAGAACTGGCTGGTAATTTGAATAATTTTCTTGCTTCATGCGAAGAGTGGTTAGTACTTTAATCCTTGACTAGTGTAATTATTAAAACTTAGATTTGTTGATCTGGTACAGCTGATTAGTTGTCTCTTTTCCAACTCTTAGGAATATAGGAACACAAAGAAAATGGTTCTAAAACTTTTTTTTTCCCCTTAAAAAGAGGCTTTTGTAGAAGAAGTAAATTTGAGATATTCATGTTTGTTTTGACTTTTTTTTTTTTTTTAGCTCTCCTTGGAGAAGGAATTTTTTATTTTTTGAACATTTTTAGCCATGGTGAACTGCCTCCTCATTGTGAACAGCGCTTCCTCCCTTGTGAAATTGGCTGTGTTAAATATTCTCTCCAAGAAGGTATTATGGCAGATTTCCACAGCTTTATAAATCCTGGTAAGTAACCAGTTAGAGTAGATACTAGATCTTAAAGATGTACATTTTTAATTTTTACTTCATTTGATAATAGTATTTGTTTTCTTAAAAGCCGATGTACAACTGAATTCTTAAAATGTAATAAGACTTAATCATAATACTTAATAGAAGAAGTGTTAGGAATTAGGTGTTGACACAGGGTTTTTGGTTTAAGCACTTTTAACCTCAAGAAAGCATTAAAATTGGGTGGATAGAACACCTGAACAATGCATAGCCTTACATCTTGGGATTCACCTAAAAGATTTTTATGCTTGGATCTTTTCTTTCTCTACCTCATTTTTCACCTTATTTGTGACTAGTTTTTTTAAGGTGCTTTTGCTCTGTAATCTTGAGGAAATTACTTAACCTCTCTGAACCTTTTAATAACTCATCTGTAAAGTGAGATAATACCTATGAGGACTGTTCTAAGGAATAAATGAGAAAGTGGAAAGAGAAATGGAAATAGACTCTCAGATGTTATCAGCAGCTCTTCTTTCCACTACTTTACCTCATTAAAAGCAATATGGGTATGAAGACATAGGATTTGATTCCTTTCCCAAGAGGATAAGTAATAGTTAAGGGAACACCATACCTTTGAAAGTAAGTAGGAGAAATATATAGGGAGAAGACATTAAGGAAAGAAGTTCATTTTTAGTTTTGTAAATTACTTTAAAATTAATTAGAACATCTCAGCACTTTTTTCTCCTCATTTTTAGATGACAGAAAAACTAATCCTGTTCACACTTGTGGGCATTGCTGCCTAATACATGTCAATAAGCTGCTTTTATTTATATGGGTTGCAAAACATTAAAAAAATAGAATTTGGGGACTTTTTTCCTCTGAGAAATACATATATACATCACCATATCAAGGGCCTCATGAGACTGCCTGAGTCCCACTCATGGACCTCCAACTAAGATCCTTTGGCACAAGCTTTCTTTACTTAGTATTTCTTTCTCTGAGTCAGATAACTTGTTTTTAAAAGTAGCTTTCAAAATTATTTGAAAGTTGTCATGCCTTTGGCTTAAAAAAAACTATAAAGCTTTAATATTTTGTATTTTCATATAATAAATATTACTCTCCTATATTATAACCTGGTCATCCTATGGAATATTACTGTAGCACAACTAGAGAACTTTCAGAGTTCTGCTTCTCTCAACAAAATGTTTTGTATTATAGGTGAAATTCCACGAGGATTTCGGTTTCATTGTCAGGCTGCAAGTAAGTATAAAGGAGTAGGGTAGAATGTAGGAATTGAATATATGCATACCTGGTTAAGACTTAACTCTTTTAAAACATAAGCTAGGGGAAAGATAATCTTAGATTATAGTTAGGGAATCTGCATAGAAATGATAGATGGTGTCTGTGATTTTTTAAAACTCTAAAACTTGTATAGACTTATCCCTTTCTCTTTCAGCATTTGTCATTTTATTTTCTGTATATGTTCTTTGGCCTTAACTAAGTCAGATGCTTTTAGCGGCCAGGTGCTTAGGAAAGTCTTTCAAAAGGTCTCAGATGAGCTGGATTTAGGGCCGTATATAGGATGTCCTTTCAGAGTTGATGCTTCAAAAATAGTAGTGATAAACAGACAAAATAGTTCTAAATTTTTTAGATGAGGAAAAACAGGCTTTTATTTTGAAGTATTTCACAATAAAGGGGCATGACTGTATATCTATGCTCTTAAACTAAACTCTTTTCTAGGAGCTAGGTGTTAAGCAGTTTCCTGTTTGAGTAGAATGAAAATCATAATAGGTTTGTTTTAAAATGTATATCCATTCAGAAGTGTGATTGTGTAGAGACCACTTGATTCCTGTAGCTAAAGGTTTGGTTTTGTTTTTTTTTTCACTTAAAAATATGGACAACTAGCCTGTAGAAATATTTGAAATTAGAAGTAAGTTTTTCAACTATTCCATAACAAGCAGTTATCTTATAATATGTTTAACACTGTTCTTTATAAACGAAAATGCTTTGGATTCATTTTTAGTTGTGTATTTTGAATTCTTTCCAGTCTTAGTGAAAAATATGTACTAATCCATTATTTGTTTGCCTGGAATCAGGCTGTGGAATAAGGAGAGTAAGGGAGAATTTTTTTTTTTTTTTTTTAGTACTTCCCCTTATATAGCTTTGAATGGAAAAAAAAAGTATAGAAGAAAAATTTTTTAGTTTCTTCGAGGCTTTGACATATCTAATCTCCCCAAGTGGTATATCATCTGAGATTATTGAACTACATCGATGGTAGTGAAAAACCATACATAGAAACTTAGCTAGTGAATTCATTTTCATATTTTTACTTTAATTCTGTTTCTGATTTGTTCATCTGCTGAATGCATGGGAATCCATACTATGCTCCAGTCACTCATTTGTGAGAGTGTCACCGGCTGACTGTTTCTTTGCTTGACTATTCTTTGATTCTATTAAATCCTTCTCAAAAATCTATTTTTGAAGACCTATTTTTACAACTTAATCAGATTAACAGAAAATGTGGTTCTTTTTTAAAAAAAAAATCCTACTAAAGACTCTAGGAACGTTTTCTTAATTATTCAACCTAATTGAAGCTGAACACAATGTTTCTTATTCAGGGAAACTGAAAATGTTTGGAGCATATCCGTTTAAGCATATCTTAAATTGCCACTCTGATAACCCTGGGAAATGTGCCAGTTAAATAAGATAAATGACTATTAGAGTGACAGCTATATCAACATAATAACCAAAAATGCCTATGCTAATGTAATTGAGCTGATTTGGAGAAGGCCATGTTTCATACAGTAATGCACTAGAACACATTTACATGTGAGTATGATGAATTTGAGTAGTTAAGGAGCATGCTTATACATTGCTCAAATGTTCCTGTGCTGCGCGATCTTTTATGAAGTATCAGTGTAGGGCTATGAGGTCTTGGTTCTTCTTCTTCTCCAACTTCAACTAGTGGAACTCTGCTTCTCTACATTTTGCTAGTTAATTATTTTCTTGAGAGAACTACTTTAAAACAAGCAAAGCTTTGAAAACTGCTTTCAGCTTCCTATACAAAAGAGTCATTAACCAACCATGCTGCCCATCGAAACTGGAATGGATTTTTAAAAACATGGTACATATACACAATAGAATATTACACAGCCACAAAGAAAGACAAACATATGGACTTCACAGCAACTTGGATGGATTTATAATCTATCACACTCAGTTATCCATCCCAGAAACAAAGAACAGAGTGCTACATGTTCTCACTCATAGACAGACCCTGAACAATTACCCTAATACTATAAGAAAGGGTCTGGCAGAAGGGGGATATTGCCCGGGTAGGGATGGGAGGGGGACACAACTTCAATAAGGGTACCTGATCTCAAACCAGGCAAAGTGGGGACCAAAGGGAGGCCCAAACTTTAACTGTATGATGACCACTTGTATACCCAATCCTGTTTTGTATCCCACATCTTTAAAATTAAAAAAATAATAAATTGGTCTAAAAGAAAAGAGTCGTCAGCTTTTCAAATGAAGCTTTTGCACACAAAACAATTATAATAATTACTTAAAATATAAAGAATATTAATGAACAGCAGTGCACCTACCAGTTAACTGAATAAATAGCACATTGCCAGGACCATTAAAGGTCCATGTGTCTCCCTAATTACAAGACCTTCCTGCTATATAAGGGAACCACTATTCTGAATTTTGTATTAAACCTTTCCTTTTCTTCGATATAGTTTTACTACAAGTGTACATATACTTATTTAAATGATGTGTTTAATTTTGCTTGTTTTTACTTTTATGTCATTAACATATTGTGTATATACTTCTGTACTTGCCTTTTTTTTTTACTCTTTTACACATTTTCTATTGAATTGTATGGTTTTTCTTATTGGTTTGTGGAAGTTTACTATCTTTTATCTGCTTATTGATTTTAATTGTATGCAGATTCTTGTTTTCAGTTTATGTCTTGTATTTTTCACTGTCTTATGGTGTCTTGTAATCAACAGGCATTTTGGCTTTTTTTTTTTAGAGATGAGGTTTTGCTATGTTGCCCAGGCTGGAGTGTGGCGGCTATTCGCAGGTGTAATCATAGCACACTGCAGTCTCAAACTTCTGGGCTCAAGTGATCCCCTTGCCTCAGCCTCTTGAGTTGCTGGAACTACAGGCATGGGCCACTGTACCAGCTTATTTTTATTTTTAATTTAGTAAACGTATCAATCTTTCATCTGATCTCTTGTCAGGTTTTGAGTTGTAAACATTTTTCTCTACCCCAAGGTTATGAAGATAGTCTATTTTCTTCTAAAAATTATAGTCGTCTTTTTTGTATTCAGGTTCTTATTTTACCTGGAATTGACTCGTGTATGATATGAGGTAGAGATTCACTTCTAGTTTTTTCCCATGTGGATAATCCGTTTTTTCAGTATCATTTCTTGAATAATCAGTTTATTCCCCAATATGTAGTACTACCTGTTTCATATGTTTTTGTTTGTGTGTGGGTCTTTTATTCTTTTTATCCTGTTCTGCTGGTCTACTTGTTTTTTGGTGTAAATATCATATTCTTAAACACAGTAATTTCATAATATTTATTTAGACAAGTCCCTTGACCTAGTTCTTTTGGAAAATCATGTCTACTTTGACTTTGTTCTTCCATACACTACTTAGAATCAATTTTTTGTATTTCACAGATCATTTTGAAGAAAAGTGGTATCTTTATATATTAAATCTTTATATCTGTGAACATGGGGATAACATCTTATTTTTTAGGTCTGCAACGTCTTTCAATAAGTTTTTACAATTTTCTCCATAGCGATCCTAATATATTTTGTTAAATTTATAGTTTATCCTACCTTTTTGCTATTATATTTTCTAATTGTTTACTTTTATATTTTCATTCTGTTCCACTTATTAGTAAACTCTGTGTTTGTAGCAAATTTCTCACATAGTCATTTCTGTGAAATCACTTTTTACTCTTTCTGATCTACATTTCTTTATTTTTAAAATTTGTTTTGTCTTAGTTTACTAAGACCTCTAGTTTCTAATGTTTCCCCAGTGAATATGCTATTTGCTGTAGTTTTCTTTTATTTTTTCTCCTCCTGACCCTTCAATTTTGGTTTGTGCTCTTTATCAGGATAAAGATGCTCCTTTTTTTTTTTTTTTTTTTGAATTGGAGTCTTGCTCTGCCACCCAGGCTAGAATACATTGGCATCCTCACAGCCACCGCAACCTGCTGAGCTCAGGCGATCCTTCTTCCTCAGTCTTCCAAAGTAGCTGGAATCACAGGCACATGCTACCAAGCTTGGCTAATTTATGTTATTTATTGTAGATACAACATCTCACCAAGTTGCCCAGGCTGGTGTTGAACCCCTGGGTTCAGGCAATCCTTTCACCCCCACCTCACAAAGTGCTGGGATTGCAGACGTAAGCCACCTTGCCCAGCCTAAGCATTTCCTTCTATACGCATACCTCATTTTATCATGCGTCACTTTATTGAGATTCACAGATACTGTGTATTTTTTAGACATTGAAGGTTTGCAGCAACCCTGCATTGAGCAAGCCTGTTGGCACTGTTTTTCCATCAGCATGTACTTACTTTGTATTTCTGTGTCACATTTTGGTAGTTTTCCCAATATTTTAGACTTTTTCATTATGTATTGTGGTGATCAGTGATATTTGATGTTACTATTGTTCTGGAGTAGCCATTAACCGTGCCCATGTAAGATGGCAAAACTTAATGCTCTTTGTGTTCTGACTACTATGCTGGCAAGCTGTACCCCCATCTCTCTCCTCAGGTCTCCCTATTCCCTGAGACAAAACAATATTGAAATTAGGTTAGTTAATAACTCTGCAGTGACCTGTAAGTTTTCAAGTGAAAGGAAGAGTCATATGTCTCTCACTTTAAATCAAAAGCTAGAAATAGTTCAGCTTAGTGAGGAAGGCATGGTGAAAGCCAAGCCAGGATGAAAGCTAGGCCTCTTGTGCCAAACAACCAAGTTGTAAATGCAAAGGAATAGTTCTTGAATGAAGTTAAAAGTGCTACTGCAGTGTACACACAGATAAGAAAGCAAAACAGCCTTACTGCTTATATGAAGAAAGTTTTGGTGATCTGGATGAAAGATCAAACCATCTACAACATTCCCCTAAGCTAAAGCCTAATCCAAAGCAAAACTCTACTCTCAATTCTATAAAGGCTGAGAGAGATGAAGCTGCAGAAGAAAAATTTGGATTTAGTAGGGGTTGGTTTGTGAGGTTTAAGGAAAAGAAGTTGTCTCCGTAACGCGAAAGTGCAAGATGAAGCAGTAGGTGCTGATGTTGAAATACAGCAAGTTTTCAAGAAGGCCTATCTAAGATCATTGATGAACAAACATTTTCAGTGGAGATAAAACTGACTTCTATTAGAAGAAGCTGCCATCTAGTACTTTTTTATAGCTAGAGGTAAGTCAGTGTCTGGCTTCAAAGGGCATGTTTACTCTGTTAGTGGCTAATGCAGCTGGTGATTTGAAGTTGAAGTCACTACTTATTTACCTTTCTGAAAACCTTAGGGTTCTTAAGAATTATGCTAAATTAAATGTCTGTGCTTTTTAAATAGGACAACAAAGCCTAGTTGACAGCATATCTATTAATAGCATGGTTTACTGAATATTTTAAGCCCACTGTTGAGATCTACTACTAAGAAACACAAATCCCTTCAAAACTTCATTACTTATTGACAATGGATCAGATCATCCAAGAGTTCTGTTGGAGGTGTACAAGAAAATTAATGTTGGTTTTGTGCCTGCTAACAAAGCATCCATTCTGCAACCCTTGGATCAAGGAGTAATTTCAACTTTTAAGTCTTATTATTTAAGAAATATGCTTTGTTTCATAAGGCTATGGCTGCCATAAACAATGATTCCTCTGATGGATCTGAGCAAAGAAAATTGAAACTCGAAAAATGGATAAAGAGCATTTGTGATTTATGGGAAGAGATTATAATAATCAACATTAACAGGAGTTTTAAAGAAATTGATTCCCACCCTCATCATGGATGACTTTGAGGGAGGGTTCAAGACTTCAGTGGAGACAGTTAAGGATGTGGTGAAAATATCAAGATAACCAAATCCTCAGTTAAGGATGTGGTGAAAATAGCAAGATAACCAAATCCTCAGTTAAAGATGTGGTGAAAATAGCAAGACAACTAGAATTATAAATGGAGCCTGAAGGTATAACTGAAATGTTGCAGTTTCACAATAGAACTTGAACAGATGAGGAATTGCTTATAGATGAGTAAAGAAAGTAGTTTCTTAAGATGGATATATCCTGATGAAGATGCTGTGAATAATGTCAAAACTACAGCAAAGGATTTAGAATATTACATAAACTTAGTTGATAAAGCAGCTGCAGAGTTTTGAGAGAACTGACTTCAATTTTGAAAGATGTGTTATAGCATGAGTAAACTGTTGTAAAACAGTATCATATGTGGCTGAAAAATCTTTCATGAAAGGAAGAGTAAATTGATGTAGCAAACTTCATTGTTGTTTTATTTTAAGATATTGCCACAGCCACCCCAGCCTTCAGAAACTGTCATCCTGATCACTCAGCAGCTGGCAACATTGAATGAAGGCCCTCCACCAACAAGTTGTGACTCACTGAAGGCTCAGATGACTATTAGCATTTTTTAGCATAAAATATTTTTAAAGTATGTGGCCAGGCCCTGTGGGTCACACCTGTAATCCCAGCATTTAGGGAGGCTGAAGTGGGGAGAACTGCTTGAGCCCAAGAGTTCAAGACCAACCTGGGTAACATAGCAATATTGAATCTCCACAAAAAAAATACAGAAGTTAGCCAGGTGTGGCAGTATGAACCTGTAGTCCCAGCTACTCAGGAGGCTGAGGTGGGAGGACTGCCTGACCTAGAAGTTGAAGGCTGTGGTGAGCAGTGATTGTGCCACTGTACTGTAGTCTGGGCAACAGAATGAGACTCTGATTCAAAATATGTGTGTGTGTGTGTAATATGTTCATTTTTTAAAAATGCATACTTAATAGACTACAGTATAGTATAAATATAATTTTTATATGTATTGGAAAACCAAAATATTTGCATGACTCACTTTGTTTCAATATTCAATTTATTGTGGTGGTCTGGAACTAAACTCACTATCTCCAGTGTATGCCTGTGTTCCCTATTTGACTATGGAAATATCAGTTGCGCATTTTAATAAATGCTTTTCTGCATCTCAGATAGATGATATGTGTCTTTTGTTCATGTAGCAATTGACTAATGTTTAAAGCAACCTTGCCTACCAGGAACAAACCCAATGTGGTCACTCTATAAATTCTTAATTACTGACTTTGACTTGTTGCTATTTTGTTTTAGGATTTCTGCGTTTATGTCAGAAACTGAGATTAACCTTATCTAATTTTATTAGAAAGGTTATTTTGCCATCATAAAATGGGTTGGGGAATAGGTTCAGTTTTTTAGTTTGATTCATTATTGTTTTGCAGAAATTCTTAATACTATCTTTAATTTCCCTGAACATAGTAAACCTCGTTATTTTAAAGACTTAGGTCAGATCATCATCTTTTGGGGTTTGATTTGATAGTCTTTTGATTATCTTGATGTTCAATCAAGTGATTAGATATCTTCATATGTCCAGTTACTTTTGAGCGCTAAATAGTAAATATGAAAACTTATTTCTCTCTAAAGATTTATGATTGCTTCTGGCAGAAAGCTGGAGTCACTTGACATCTTATATTACTTTAACTCATTTTCAGTGATTGGGGTAATTAAAAACTGAACTTCAGAACTCAAGAGGGCTGGTCTATTTCTAGTTGATCTTTACTAGAAAAAAGAAGAGGGGTGGAAAGATTATCACCAAAGGATTATTAGTAAAATTTACAGTTACTTCACAGCATAAACAATGGAAGCCAGAAGACAATGGAATTTTTAAAAATTATATACTTTGTATTCACTGAAATAATAGTACAATAAAGTTTTTAATTTATGCCAGCTTTGGGTCTATTGGAAACTCTGTCTAGTTTCTCAGCATCTAAATCTCCTCTTCCGGAATTGGTAAATGACCCTGAGAAAAAACAAAATTCAAATGCCAGATTCAGCTCTCTAGGATTTCTTCCTTTCCCAGTTTTTGAGACCATGATCCATCACTGCATTTTTGTCTCTGAAGTAGTTCCAAGCAAGTGTTTCATTTGTTTATGTTTTCCCTAGTCTGTCATCAGAAGTTGAACAACTCCTGCATCTTTTTGGTATGGGGGAAGGGATCTCATTCTATTGCCTAGGCTGGACTCAAACGATCCTCTAGCCTCAACCTCCCAAGTCTCTGCGACTATAGGCATGTGCCACCATGCCCATCTTCCTGCATCTTTTTTATAGTTAACAAATTGTATGCTGAAATTTGTAATTTGATCTTTTCAAACATACCATAATTATTTAAAATCTGTGTCTTAATAACTTCATTATATTGGATACCCGTAAGTATCTATCAACTATTTTGGTTCTCATTCTTGTTTTTTTTGTATGCCTGGTTATTCATAGAGTGAGAGAAAAATGATTTCAGAGTAATTTGAGGCCTATGATGATGATACCTTCCTTCAGAGAGAACTTATGTTTGCTTCTTTTAGATACATGGGGGCCTAGAAAACCAGACTCCAGAAGCTGTCAAAAGCATGCTGTTCAGCCATTAAGCTTCCTTTTCTGAAATTGGCAAATGACCCAGGGAAAAAAACTCCCTAAAGCTAATCTCAGTTCTCTGGGTTTATGTATTCTCTTGCATCTTGACCTAGTGATTCCTTACTATTCTGTGTGCTCTTAAAATCTTTAAGCTTTGTGCATTTTTGTGGGAAGTATGGCCTGAATTACTTGGGGTTTTTTTTCCTGTAAAGTAGAAATCTTTATCATATAACCTTTTATGAAGCAGTCATTACTGTTGCATTCTCAAGCCTTATTAATAAATTCATGAAAGGCAGCATGGAAATAGTGAAAACACTGCAGCACTGGTCACTTAACAAACCTGGATTTGAGTCATGATTCAACCGTTTACCAACTGTTAATAATTTCCTGATTCTTAGTTCTCTTTTTTAATTGTAATGTATCACTGATATCATAGAATGGCTGTAAGATTATGGGTTAAAATATGTAATGTACTTGACCATAACCAGTCTTGGTACCCTGTATGCCTACTTGCATTCCTACCACATAATACTTGTCTTGATCAAAGTTTGAACAACTACCTCATTTTTTATTTCCTTCAGGTGATTCTAGTCACAAGATTCCTATTTCAAACTTTGAATTTGGGCATGACCAAGCAACTGTGTTACAAAACCTTTATAAGTTTATTCATCCATACCCAGGAAAATGGCCACCTATTTACTGCAAGGTAATTTTAAGTTAAGAAATTATTTTAAGGTATCCAGTTGCATAACAAAAGACCCATAAAAAATGTGCCTGTGTATTACCTGTATATGTTAAAACATGCATTCTGAATTATTTTTTAATGTAATTAGGTATAATACCTTTAAAAATATACATCTGATTTTAAAGAGTGCAAAAGCTAAACATTTCTACTTTGGTAGGTCTCATGTTTTTTTGAGTTCCTCCTTCAGAAATTTCTGTGATACGTTTCTACCCTGAAGAATGGGTGCTTCCTTGTGTACACCTATTCTTTTAAACAAGATTACCTTTTTTTCAAAACTGTCTTTGTAGCAGCCTATTCCTTCTCTTTTTGTAATATTTAGAGAGACTGTATTCTTTATTTTGTTTAAATTCTTCTAAGCTTGAAGTTGAAGAATTGAGTTTTAACATTGCTTATTGATTGAACCAGGAGCAGATTACCTAAAGATCTGAACATTGGTTTCTTCGCACATCTTAGGTTTCACTTGATTCTCATAATGTATATTGACATTGCTTTATAAATGTGACTGGTTAAGCAGTAGTCTTTTCTAATGTATATTACTAGTTTTTTTATAGTTCCTAGATAGTTATCACAACTCTTCAGTCTTTCTCTCCCACAAACCCTACCCCTCACCCCTGTCTTGAAAGGACATCATTAAAAATAACTTCAAGGAGAAAATACAAGTAATTTTCTTTGCTTCTGCAGTCTGATGATAGAGCCAGAGTCAACTGGTGTTTGAAGCATATGGAGAAGGCTTCAGGTCAGTAAAATTCTGGGTCACTACAGAAATGTATTATATCTGTATTTATTTCCATTTTGATATGTATGTCTCCTAAGTACTTACATTTACTATTGTGTATGTTTTTCTATTTACTAATGGAAGAAATCAGGCAAGATCTACAACTTTTCACTGTAGAAGATCTCATAGTGGGGATCTACCAGGAAAAATTTCTCAAGGAACCCTCTAAGACCTGGGTTCGAAGCTTCCTAGATGTGGCCATGTGGGATTATTCTAGCAACACAAGGTATTGATAGCAATTTTGTAACATAGTCGCTTTGACTTGTTTTCTGAAATGTTAAAATATGGTAAGACTAGTTATTTTTTGCTTTTTTATGTAGTATTTTCTTATGAAACCTTGGAAGCATTGTATTTCTTTGAATATAAGATTCCATTAATTGTAATATACATTATTACTTTGTGTACCACTAAAATCAAAAACCTGTTCAATAAACTGTTCTTTCTTATTGCTTAGAATTTCTGTGCTGATGAAAGAATGTTTTTAGATTTATTTAGACAGATTTTTTTACACAGAACTCTTATACTTACATATAAAGGAATATATAAGTGAAATAAATTGGCAATATGATTTATTATTATTTCAAAATAATTTTAGACTTACAGAAAAGTTGCAAGAACCCATTCTGTCAGTTTCCCTAATTGTTAACATTTTAGTAATTTTCTTCGTAATTTTGTCTCTAAATACATACACACTGTTTTTCTAAACCACTTTGAGAGTAAGTTGCTATCATTACGTCTCTTTGTACCTAAATACTTCAGTGTTTCCTAGGAATAAGAACATTCACGTTACCATAGTATAATTATCAAAATCAGGATATTGCCACTGATACAATACTGTTATCTACTATGAAGACCATAATAATATTTTGCTAGTTGTTTCAATAACATCTTTATAGCCAAAAATAATTCTAGTCTAGAGTACATTCTAGTAACATGTTGCTCTTAGTTATTATGTCTCATTAAGCTACTTCAGTATTTCCTTGGTCTTACTTAGACATTTTTGAAGAGTACAGGCCAGTTGTTTTATTTTTTTAATTATATTTTATTTTATTATAGAGATGTTGGGTACAAGTAAGGATTAACTACACAAGTAGGCTGCAGGTGAAGTTTGGGCTTCCAACTGGCCCTCACTTCCCCTGCTTTAGGACCAGGTACTCTTTGTGTTATTATGTACCCCTCTCCCCCCCCTTCCTCCCAATGCCCAGTGACTGCCGGTCCCTCCCTTGTGCTAATGTAACTAGTGTTTAGGGCCCACTTATGAGTGAGAACATACAGTATTCAGTTTCTTGTTTTTATGATAGATCACGAATTATGATGGTCTCCAACTCCATCCAATTTGCTGTGATGTGAAGCCATGATTTTGTGCTTTATTAGACCATTTATTTTACAGAACATTTTTTCAGTTTGAGTTGGTCTGTATTTTTCTCATGGCTAGATTCAAGTTATGCATTTTTGGAAGGACTACCATCAAAGTAATGATGTGTCTTCTCAGTGTGTCATATCTGGAAGCTTATGATTCTGTTTGTTCTATTATACTGATGTTAACTTTGATCACTTGCTTAAGATAGTGCCCATCAGATATTCTCATCAATTTCTCTATTGAAAAGATATGTTTTTCACCTTTATTAAATAAATATGACTATTTTGTGGAGAAATACTTTGAAATTGGGTAGGTATTCTATTCCTCAAACTTCTGTATACTAGTTTTAGCATTTAGTGACAATTTTTGCCTGAATCAATTATTACTATACTATGTGAAATGGTGATTTTTATAATTCAATTACTCATTCTGCATTTATTAGTTGGCATATTACTGTAAAGAACTTTTCCTTTTCACCCACTTACTTATTTATATGAGTATAGGCTCAAGGATTCCTATTCAGTGAATTATAATCTCTTATTATTGTAATTTATTTTTATGTGCAAACTTTCCATATATGGCCAGTGGAAGTCCCTTCAAGCAGTAGTTTCTATGTCATTTTGACATTGCTTCATCCTTTCAGTGCTGTTTTGCATTCTTTCTGGAACAATATGTTCCAGACTTATGTTGTACTTGGATTAGCCATTTCTCTAAGGATCCTTGGTTCCTTTTAGTGGAGCATAGTATTTAGGAGGTAGGATCCGGGTAATAGATGTGCTCATTTCTTACTGGAATGTCATTGATTTTAAGGTCCCCTTAGTAGAGAAAGCTAGGAAATAAATGTACACACCCTCCATACATATTTTTATGTAGCTAGGTTTCTTACTTTTTTTTATCTATCTTTGTTTCTGCCTCACCATGAGTTCATCCTGAACCTAGAGTTTCTAATGCCACAGAGTTCTCTAGTTTTCTACTTGTTATTCTTATATTTCCTTTCTCTGACAGTGATAAACCTGGCTCTTAATATTTGTTCGTTATGTGATACCACTGTAAAAAAAAAAAAAAAAAGGTTTAGATTTAGTTTACGTTTGTTTTTTAGTCTGAAAGTATATGGTCAAAATACTTTGTTCAAAAGTTATTTATGTTTTTCCCCTTCAGTGTAAATTATGCTGAAATATAGTTAAGTGCATTTGCTTTTCTATATTCCATTTTTGGTTTCCTCCCTATTTTTAATACTTATCTTTCAAATGTCTAAAGCATTACCGTTGTGTAAACAAAAAAGTATATTCAGAATTGTTACTTCATTCCAGCGCCATTTAAAAAAAAGTTTGTTGGACTTGCATTAAATGTATAAATTAACTTGGGTAAACTGAAATACTTATAAAAACTGTGATATTTGTAATATAATTAAATGTTTTTTATAAAGAACTGAAATCTTTATAAGTTGTATACAGTGACTAGAGACATCTTTCCATTGTTCAAATCTACTTTTGAGTGTTTCAAATATGTTTTATAATTTTTCTCACACAGATTGTGCATATCTGGGACTGGTGCATAGGAGAAGTTCCTTGACAACTTTCTCTATTCTTCTATGGAAGTTGGTTTGACTAGGCTTTCTAGTTCTAATAGGGTAAATTTTGGTAATCTGCATTTTCCTAGGAAATTATACATTTTATATATGTTTTCTAATGTATTTGTTTTAAACGTATGCAAGGAAGGTAGTTTCTTACAGTTTTTAAAATTTATTCTGTTACAGTGGTTATCTCATCATTTCTTGTATATTTGTGCTTTCTCCTTTTTTCCTTAAGAAGTGATGTGTTTATTTTAATTTTTCAAAACAACAGGGCTTTATTAGACTATTTTTCTGTTCTCTTTATTAATTTCTGCTTTTATCTCATTTTCTTTGTACTTTGGGTTTCTTTTTCTAGTTTTGAGGAGCTAGAAATGTAATTCATTTGCTTTTTATCTGCTTTTTATTGATGTGTTTATTAGAGTGAATGTTCTTTTAATCATTGTTTTCAGTGATTCCATAGGTTGTGACATGCAATATTTTCATTGTCATTTTAAGCAAATCTATCAGTTAAGATTTCAGGCAAAAGTTAAATACAAGACTTTTGGATGTCCAGGTGAAAAGACCTTTCTGGTTTTTGTTTCTGTTAGTAAATTCTAGTGTTTTTTCATTGTAACTAGAGTGTTGCTTATAATATTTCTACATTATGGAAGTTACTGGTGTTTGGTGTCTTTTGGTTAACTTAATTTCATATGCTATTAGAACAGTCACAAATTTCTATGGGCATGTGAAAATATTTTTTTTCAGGGTTTAGCATTTGGTATATATGATCTACATTGATAAGGTTTAGATTTTCTTATCTCTTTAGTTATATTTAGTCCAGCTGATGCTTTTGTGTTTAAAGTCTTCTGTTACTACTCTGTTTCTGTCTCATTGCATAGCTCCTGATTGCTGTGTTATTTGATACTTTAAAGTTTGCTGCACTTTGATATAGTAGATTGATCAGAGGCTCATGAAAGAGTATTCCCTGTGTTCTTGCATGTTTACAACTTTTTCTGATGGTTTACACTTTATATCCTTAAGTTTCTAGAAAATACAGCTTCATTTTAATGCTTTGTGTGTTCCTTTTGCAAAGTTTGGGCAGTTAATTCTCCTGGCTTTAGTTATCTGATCTTTTTGCCTGGAGTTATTTGATCATTTTGCCTGTAGACCTTAGTCATTTTTAAGTAGTAAAATAGTTTTACTGGGATATTTCTCTGAGTTTATTATTGTGAGTCCATTTTCTGAGGTGTTTGGTGTGCCCTTTCAATATGCAAACTCGGGTTCTGATTTTGGAGATTTTTCTTATAGCTTAATATTAGTTCTGTTCCACTGTTTAATTTTTCCTCTTAAGGGATTCCAATATATGTATGTTTGATCTTCTTCACCTTTTATTTTAATAACTTTTTCCTGATCCTTTCTTTAATCATTTATTCTCATGATATTTTCTACTTTCTTTAATTTATCTTATTAACTTTCCAAATGATCTATACTTCCTTGGGTAGTTTGTATTTTAGTCATTTTTCATTTTGATGTTGTCTTTTTTTTTTCTCTCTCTCTTTCTTTCCTGAGTTTAGTTAACTCTTAATTTCTGTTTCTAGTTTCTCATTCAGGGCATGTTTCCATATCTTCACTTTTTTTTTTTTTTTTTAGGATATTTAGTTCAATGTGGAATAGTGTGTTACATTTTTCTTCTCCTTCATGGTGACTTTTTTTGTGTGTGTGGGTTAGTGGTGAGGAATTACCAGTTTTAAGTTTCATCTTCTGTTTTTTATAGTAGTTTTGAGTAGTTGAAGATGCATTATGCACTTTCATTTCTTGGTCAGAGTTGGTGATTTGAGGGGAGGCTTGAGAGTCTTAATTTCTAGAACTTCCTCTTCAGTCAGTGTGGCAATGAATGCTTTTGGAGCAGTGGGGTTGTGGTTGTAGATACTTCTATTTTTTTTTCCTTTTGTCCTGGAGGATCCTAAATTCCCCCTCTAGCTTTGTTTTTGCCACACAGGGTTTTTTTTGTGTGTCTTTTTTTTTCCAATTTTTTTTTTTAAAGTTGTGGGGTACAATTCAAGGTCAGGTTATACAAATGTTCATTATGCATCTACCCCTGTTGATGAGCTGTGCCCCCCAGGCAATTTCCCACTACTGCAAATCCCTTTCTTATAGTATTATGGTAATTGTTTACGGTTCACTTATGAGTGAGAACATGTGGTACTCAGTTCTTTGTTTCTGTGATAGAACCCTGAGTTATAGACTCTAAGTCTTTCCAAGTTGCTGCAAAGTTCATAATTTTGTGCTTCTTTATGGCTGCATAATATTCCAT